GATCTCTGTAATAAATAACCTCACTTCACTCAAAGGTAACCTAGGTTTGTTCAAAGAGGTCGGTGGCCGTTTTTCTCGGAACTTATTTATATAATAAGGAGTATTTGAGCTGGTACAGTATATGAGTTTAAATGCATTAATAGAAAGCAATTGCAGGTACCAGGGACCGAATCCACGTCATCGCTGTCATGGATCTGAAATCCGTCGCGCTACCGACTGAGGCACCAAATCCTCCAATACGTTATAATGATAATAGTTGTTTTTTCTAGATAGTTAGTTTTTGTACACAGCCGTGAGTAGTCTTGTTTTACGTGCTAAACATGATATTGTGATCTATAATTTTTTCTTCACCTTTTTAAATGAGAAAATAAAAAAAACAAATTTTAAGTTTCTTGATAAATATGTCGAGATTTTAATACTTAAACACAATGTTTACTTTTGTAAGGTAAAAGTAATTGAGTGCAGCTTTTCTGATATTTACCACATTTAACTCACAGGGTGTTCTGCCACACATCATTTAGGAACCCTATTTGAGCACTTATTGTTACTACGTGCACTATTATGTTGCATAATATGATTGCTAAGAGGATATTCAATTTAAAATGTCCATTATAAATCAATTACCCTTCTTGTTTTCGAAACCGAACTGTTTTTAAAACAGTATTGTAGTATGACAACAATTTAATTTTTAATAGGGAAGCAATACAAACTGTCAATTTCCACGGAATATTTTTTTTACTAAAACCTTTGAATTATTAAAAATAAAATCTGACCTAAGTAAAACATGCAAACAAAGGAGCCTGGAGACGACATTTCTATATCCACTCCACTGAGTTAGAGATAATCCTTTTCTTCCTTAGCATAGTAAGGATATTGTTTTAGCTGCAGTCGTGATAATGCAAATTTTAACAAGCACAACTCAGAGTTTTTTTAAGTATAGTATTTTGTAGCCTTGAACATATCAATTAAACGGTAACTTTTTTTTAATAAAACCGATAAATAAATTATAAAAGTTAAGCAGAAGATTAAGACTTATTTAGTTCATGGAATTTTTTTCTGGATTACATTGTGTCGTTTTGAACTATTTATTTTGTCTTAAAAGGTTTAAATTACCTGTATCTGTCAAGGATCTTCGTCAACCAGGATCACTTGAAGGATACAGGTAATTTAAACCTTTTATTGTAAAAATCAGTGATCCAGAGGCTATATCATAAAAATGATATTTCTTTTGGATGGTTGGGTGAAAAATACAGTATACTTTATATTGTATTCAAACGTAATATAACCACACACATATTTTTTTAATTGAAAATATCTACACTAAAACGATTGTTAAAAACGGTTAAAAAATGTTCTATGCTAGAAGTTTATTTCGTAGTCTACATTTTATTCTAAGACTTACCTAATTGCAAAATTGCACATTTAAAAACTCTTTTTAACATAACACAAGCTGCTATACCCGTGCTTTGCAACGGGAAGAAAATGTTACCTAGAGAGCTATTAAAGTAATTCTGATGTGTGTTTTAAAATACTGCAACTCTATGATTTAGTTTGAAAATATAAACTGATTTAAAAGTGTAAACCTACTTACTTTCAAACTCCTACTTTTTATGTTAATAGATCCAAAAGTATATGACGACATACCTTAGTGTAGCAACAGCATCAATTGCTTCATATTGATGCATATTGATGCTTCACGAATTACATGTTTTACCATAATTCTTCAACTTTAGTCAAGCCTCTTTACATGTAGCTTACTATATAAATTACAAAATGAAACTTTGAGCAATACTTTACAAAACGTATACAACCTTTCTTTAAAACCAAACATAACCCTCCTAAATCTACATAAAGCATAACAAACATATTTTTCGAGTAAATAAACAAACACCAGTTCATTGTACTGACCAGCTGTTTCACTAACTAAATTAAATTAAATCATGTAAACTTTGGAAGCATGCCAGGCGTAGCCCTTTGGACGTCGGCCTGTGGGGCAGAGCCCTTAGGAAATTCGTCCATATCAATACTTTTCGGCAAATCTACACACTCTAAGCTTCATTTTGATGTGACATATGCCTATATTTTTATTTGGTAAATGGCCTTAACCGTTTACATAAAATTTGATTGTATCACTTTAATAATATAATAGATAGGTTAAAATATTTTGAGTTATTAATAAACAAACAAAGACCAACTAAAATACTTAGGGCAACATTGTTGAGCTTTTTTCTCGTTCAGGAATACTCAGTGTGTGGAAAACATTACCATTAATATTTCAGCGTGGCGTAAATACCAAAGTCCTATTCCACAGCCGTAAGCTATATGTGCAATCCTCAAAACAAACTTACAAAGTTTTCCTATTTCCGACCCAAACCGCAGTCTACCTGTTCCTGAACGCACGCCGACTTGTGAATCTCAGGAGCAATCTTTAGAAAATATATTTACAGTAATTCAGGATATATAGTAATTTAGTCTTTGTTCACTAAGCACACCGAGTAATTATATTGAAAGGTAATAATTTACCAGTTAAGGCCTCGAATAAAACAATTTTCCAGCAACATAATACTAATGGACCGGTGAAAACGCATAAAAAGCATGTTTAAATATCAATGTAGTATTGGTAGTACATATTGCGACAACAAAATAGGACTTTCATCAACATCTAACAGGCACGCTTTTAATAAACACATTGTTACATTCCAAAAACTAATATTGTTTTTTTTTAGATAGAGATTATATATAGCTATTTGAAATCTGATTGAATATCTTTCTCTCGCACAATTGTACAGGTATTTATAAATAAATATGCATTTAAAATATTGGATTTATTTCTACAGAATACTTCTCGATTCATTTCAATTTTTTTTTTATTTAAAAAGAAATATGCCCTTAACTTTTGTTTGTTTCCAACTTTATGCTTCTCAACTTTATGTTTATAATTAAAATGATTAACGACACTTTCTAGAAAAAGTTGTCAAATTTTTCTCTTTTACCCTTCTTTAAGTTTCTTGAAATTGTGTAAGTTTGCTGGAGGGTGGCTCCAGACTATGACGTAATTTCCTGCACGTGTTACAGCTAATGTATGGGGGTAGCCGGTGACGGTGGCGGCCAGACTGTGGGGATGTGTTAAACAGCTCTGTCAACTCTGGGACAAGTTTGATTAGTGATATACCAAATAGTGATAGAACAAATTAGTTGATTAGTCTATCACTAATCAAATGCTAACATTATCATTAACAGTTTGACTCACATATTTAGTGACCATGTTGATATCTCTATGGCACAGATTAGTTATCTCTTGACGCTAAATGATAGAGTTAGATAACTTGTCTAACGAATTTCCATGTAGTCGATGTAAAAGGGTAGTATTTTTTAGAAAACCAGAAGCTATTAGCAAAACTAAAATTAATAATCTCACCTAATACAAACTTTATAAATACACCTACACGTATGACAGTTTTACACCCTGTAGTTCATCTTCTTAAAAACTAAATCCATTTCACTCAAAGTGCTTTTAAAGCATTGTTATTTTAGTGACCTTGGCAGTTGTGAAACAGCTATTAATACAGACGAAAAGATGTAGAGGTGTTTATATTTATTTATTTAGATGTTTTCAGGAATATAGAAGAAGAAAATCTGAGAACAATGAGAACCAGAGACCATTAAAGTGAATTGTGTGCAAGAAAACAATCCATGGTAGGATTAGTCTAGAACTTTCTTTGTTTGATCATCACCTTTATTGAGCCAATTCGTTTCGGTTGTCTTCCTGACTTCCACGTCTTCTAAATCCACGGGTTCCAGCCTTAACCTTGTCCATTTCCTCTTCCGTCACTTCTGGACTTTTCGTTTCATGCTGGAGTGCCAGGACTTCATGCTTTGATGGAAGATCATTGCCCTCCAATATTGATAGTTTGGTGGAGGTTTACTGTGGACATAGATAAAAAAATCGGAGACTATAAATATTTTATTTTCATAACAATTTTTGGGTATGACAAAATTAAGAGGCTTTTACAATTATTTTATGGCGACATTTACAGCTTATGAAATTATCAAAGTTAACTACATTAACTAACTAGAGTTACCGCACCTAAACTGTAAATAGTGTTAAACACATTCTTTTATTTATATGCCTTCTATATTGTGCATTGTTGATTTTTTCAAAACATATAAAAAGTTTTTTTTTACTTAAATAATGCGGTTTTCATGTTTTAATCGACGCTTTCCACACGTACGTGATGGATATGAATAACTCTATAAGTCCTCTTTTATGCACCTGTGGTCACCGCACTGCGGTAGCCTATAAGAGTACAACACTGACCCAAATGGGTGCACTGGGGTGCGGCCCACAAGTCCAGTGGGGTGGACCTAGGAAACGCAACTTTTTGGCGGCTCTAGGTACATTGGTACATTGGGTCTTATGGGAGCTTTTATGCACTGCGACGCCTGCCGCAACCTGTAAATGCTAACAGTGGTATAAAAACCTGTGACGCCGCAATCTCCAAACCGCAATTTTGCAGCCGCATGATTTTTGTGGCGCGATAAAAACCGCAGCCCCAGTGCATTAATTTGGCCATAGCTGGTATCTAAGCTTAGCTTTTAAAAATTTTCGACTCTTTATGTTATGAAGATTTTCTCATAGCTTTAACTTAGAACACTTAATTATGGCCTTAATGATACCAACGATAAAACACGTATATGACCATCCAATGTACCACTGTAAGATATATTAGTAACATATCTGATGTGGGTCTTTATTGTTCAGCCGCGATGGTAAAACAAAATACTTTAAAAATCATGACAACAAAGGTCTGAAATCTTCCTGCGTGTTATCTTTGTTGCGTAATGATTACTCAGGATGCAAACCATGAAAAACAATGAGTCGTCATAATAAACCAAACAAACCGCAGCAGACAATGGACCGGAAGTTGGTCGTGCCAATGGTCACGTGACCGGCTAAGTAATCAGCTGGCTGCTAGGCTAGCCAGAACTAGTGCCAACAGTCCTACACAGTCAGTGAGAGTGAGTGAGTGAGTCAGTCAGTGACAGTCAGTGGTCTGTGTTGGTGCGAGCGACCTCTCGATTTTCCAGTTATGGAAGGTTACAGAATAGTCCTGCTTTCACTTCTTCTTGGAATGGTCATTGTTCAGTGTCTAGCCTCAAGTAAGTAAATAATTTTACTTTACCATGTATACATAACTTTTTCATCAGGTATATTGTTTTCCGTCAACTTGAAAGTAATTCAGGACTCTTTCTTTGATTCGGTCTTATGATTGGCGTGTAGAAAACCGAAGTATTCCATTGTATATATTAGGTTTGAGGTCAATATACGACATTGTATGATGTAGTCAAGTTATTTACAACCAATTAAATGTTGACAAACTTTTAGGTTTACAAAGAATGTAACACGCTTCAACTTATAACAGCACGATTATTAAAACACGATTGTAGGGAAAAATGTATTTGATAAGGAAATGATTTTTAACAAATGATAAAAAAAAGTAAATATGCAATAAATATTCATTTACAATTTTTGAATAGTTTGAAACTTATTGATTGATAAAGCTTTTAAAGTACCCTAATGTAAGGAATTCGATTTTAATTAAATTTCTCTTCACCTCAATTTATCCAGGTATAGGCCTACTTTATAAAGTAGGCTACTTTTATTCATATTTTTGTCCAGGGTATTTTTTATCACTTGGTTTGTATAAAAATTCCACCCAACACTGTACCCCTAGGATAATAAATATAAAATGCAAATATTCATTGGGTAACGTATTGTTAATCAATCGTGTATATAGGGTAAAAGTGTGTTTTTATCTCAAGATACTGTAGCAATAAAGAAATAATATCTTTATTTCTTTATTGCTGTTTACTGCAATACGACTGTTTATTGCATTTACTGCATACTGAATGTTTACTGCATTCCCTATATTATTACAGTAAATGCTATTCATAATCGAGATTTAATATGGAAATAGACTAAAAACTAGCGATTTTGTTTCCAAACAAGAATATATCTAATCCTTGTTTTTTACTATCCTGACGTAGAACGAGCTTCTTCTGAGTAGAACAATAGACCAACTTCATTACTCTTATCAGAAGGTTAGATTAAATTACACGTACACTGCTATATATCCCTTTCTTAGTTTGGTAAATTTCTTGGAGTAAAAACTTTTCTTACAATTAGATTTATTATTTCTGCAAACGATGTAGCTACAGAAACATTCAATTCTCAATCTATTATTAGATTCACATATGAAATAGTTCTTTATTGTATATGATAATTAACTAAGCACGTTTACACGTAAACACTTTTAAAAGAAGAATTTATCAAAGATTTTTTTATGGTTTTATGTACACGAAAAGTTAGATGTTGCATTTCCTTACTTACCACTAAAAGTGTTTATAGATGGAAAGTCTAAAATTAGTAGGCCTACACTTGATCCATCTTTATTTAACCTTGAATACCTACATTTTAGCCTTGATCTAGTACTCACCTAGTAAATAAAGCGTGGATTTATTTTGTTAACGGCTTTGATTATTATTTTTCGGATTTTGTTTGTAATCGAGCAATTTTACTTCTCATAACTTAATCCGTCCATAATAAATGCATAGATGCACGAAATACAAATAGGCTTAACTTACAGTGGTTTAGCATTGATGGAGAAAGTTTGTGAATAGACATAAAATGAAAATAGCACGATTATTTTACAACTCAAATTGACTAGCTTAGAATTGTATGATACACTTTTAATAAACTGGTCAGTAAAATATATGCTCATAGACTACAAACCAGGAATCCTAAGCAAAGACTTTTAGAAAGCCTTAAGACTAACACCAAAGTTTTTAAATTCATTAGTAATGTAATTTATTAAGGACTTTTTCGTTAGATATTGCGCGTCGTTATTTAATTATCTTGAAGTGGTGCTAAGGAATGCATTTCCTTACCTAAAACCTCATTTTAGCCATTATCTTCAATTATTTCGATAATTAGTTATGATTTTATATAAACACTGTTCTTGAAAATAGTTAAATATAGTAATTAGTAACGAACTTTGATTTGGATGTCGTATATAGCCTTCCGAATGAACTTGTAGAGTACAGGTTAGAACTGGTTTAGAGGACGTCTCATTCATGATGAAGATTTTAATTGAGTGCTTTCCTCGTGTCTTGGTATTACATGTAATTGCTGAATAGAGTTGGGTATTGTTAACATAGTTATGCTACTGTCTATGATTCATAAGACGACACTTGATTACTTAAGAGGCCTTATTTTTAATTCCAAGTAAAAACTAACTCCTACACCTTATACATGAGGACTTATTTAATGCACGATTAGTTTAATGAGTCCTTTCACGGCTAGTCTTAGTGGTTTCACTTAAGCTATTCTGATCGGTTTTATTTTACAAAAATGCATAAAACTACCACTTAAGGAAAATCCAGCCTTTCCATATAACCAAGCTGAATTATCCCTGACCATAACATTAGCTTGGCCACTAATGCGAATATCATACCAACGATGATGTTTATTGAGAACTCAGGTGATTACGACCCCATTATTAGCTTAACATCCATAACGTCGACTCTAGCCTTTCCGCTTTCCTGGTTTTCAGTTAGGTGTTTGCATTTTTTGTTGGATAAGAATATTTTTATTTTGGGATGATTAAGCTTAATAACTAATAATGATAATTGATTAATGATTAAGCTTATCCCATTATGAGATCTATTTTTGGTATTCGCATTGACCTTTACTACATATGATAAACATCTTAGTTGTATTCATTATATAATTGCATGGTTATACAAAGACCAAAATACGTTGTTCGATTACATGAGATAGATATTTGTTGATACTTTGTAGTCTGGATAACCTGTCTATGCCGACATGTATATGCAAAGAGAGTAAAATTTTGTTTCCGTATAAATAACAACGACAAGCCTTCAGTGATAACTGCCGAGGACCTGTTTCGGTATAAACTAGTCTGACCAATAAACCCAAGACTCATGGCTTATCTAAAGTTTTCTTGACAGTAATTATTGAAACAATAATCTGCTTTATTTGCACGTTAAAGATGTTTGGTTGACACGATATCCATCACATTTGCATATTCTACTATCAAAAATATTTTACATCTTTGAGTAGAATATCTAGGTTTCAAAAATAATCAGAACAACTACACCCAATTTACCTTCCATTGCTTAGCTTTAGAGATTTATTAAATTTTTTCACTAACTTCACTCTTCCATTTCACAGCTGACCGTTGTGCTACCGAAGAGCGTGCGAACCCTGGGGGGAAGTGCCGGAGGACCTGTAACGCCTGTAGGGACTGTGGCGAGTGTCTGTGCAAGTCAGGATACATCCGTCTCAACATTGGAGGTCCTTGTGTATCGGAGGAGTATTGTCATACAAGTGAGTATATTAAAGTAAAAAATAGTGTAGGATAAATACACAAAAACTTTGTTTAGTGGACCTAATGTTGTTTTTGAGTAATTTAGTTAGTCAACGGAGTGCCTGTATCACACAATGTGCCAATTTATTCTTTCACAATGTTATTATTTTTGATCTAGACTTAAAAGTAAATGTAGTATAAAAAAATGTTTTGCATAGAAGTATTCTATAGATCTTTTCAGTTGTTGCTAATAATATTATGTAATGTCTCGTATATTCGCACACGATTCTTCCGTCTGAACCCACTTTGTACAACATTTGTAGGACGCGCGTTTCAGTTGTCACCATACTCACTCTTATTTTCAAATGAAACTAGGGAGTAGTTGAAAATGGCTACAGCCGAACCATGCGTCACACGAATTTATACCGATTGCGTGCAGACGGAAGAATCGAGTGCGAATACTATACGCGGTTGTCTAGCATCAAGATGTATGGAGTAAAAGCATCACCGAGGAAGGATTTCACCAGAGATCATCTCTTCAAGTTAATATAAACCTGTTACAGTTGAACATAAACATAACCAACTTTAACGTGGGCATCTGTTTATTAATCTAAAAATCATATTATTATAGCAATGAAAAAGTAAACTATTTTTAAATATAGAGTATAGATTTGTACGCATATTGATAAATGAAAACACTGTCGATAACAATTTGAAATTTTAAATAAGTTGGAAAAGAAAATGTACTGTCAGCTGCAATTTGGAATCGCTTCATAAAATGAGAGATGATTGTAAACATAATTTAATCAACGTTAAATCATAACTGTAGTATTACTATAACATTATAGAGCTCGGCAAAATATAATCGTAGGCCTACATACCTATTATAGACTATTATTTGTTTAGATATTACGTTTCTAAGACTTGAATTTGTTTCAGTATTCTCAAAGAACTGTGATTTCACATTTTTGCGTATTTAACATGCTCATTATTATTTAGACAGCATATATCATAATTTTAACACCTTTTACGCTTGTTGCAGTGCACTTTAAATGGATGAAGGACGCCAAATACAACAATGACAATACCAACTTCTTCAACTGTAAATAGTTTTAGTAATCATGTCATTTTCAACACCAAAGTAACGTGCCAATCAAAACATTTTGTATTTATTTTTTCACTCGTTTAAAATAAATTGAGTTTTAAAATCTTACCATTAGTTTCACTAAGCCTTCCCTAATTATTTTCAAACTAGTTCATAGCGAATTCAATTTCATTATTTATTTTAAAAACTATATTCCATACCACATTTTAAAATAGCGTATGATTTAAAATATTCTCTGCTTTTGTGGCTAGTTCCGTATCCAAACATGACGTGAGACAATAACGTTGCCAGTGATGTTGATGCTACTAATATAAATGAATTTATTTTCACAGCGGAAGACATATAAAGGTCACCTCTGTCACCAACTGTCGCTTTTTACTTTCAAGTAGGAGGATGTATAGGTTACGACCAGTTCCAGGCAACTGGGCTAAAACATTCTAAAATGTTTAATTATTGCTTATTGCCGGGATTGAATTCGAGACTTCAGAGGAGAGCAATACTTTATGTAGATGTATTTGAGTGTTTAGGCGAATAAAAATAATTTCATTGGTTAATAAACCATAATAAGCAAAACCCATTTATAGTTACTGGACCACAAAATTACTTAAACAGTTTTTATTGAATGACATACGTAAATGATGAAACGCTCATATTGTTGAACAAAATTAAACAATACACATATTAATTAATTGCACATAATCAAAAAACTCTTATCTTTAGATAACGTTTCTAATTTTCAACGCAAACTAATACCTATTTATACTACTTAATTATACAGCTCATTCAGGTGAATCGAGCAAGAGGCTTTTATATTGGAAGTCATTGTGATTGTGGAAGTCCACAAATCGGCACATTATGGAATGTGACGCTTCGCTGCTGGTTCATTGTCCTCTGGGATAGCCAATGACAGCTTCCACGTGACGTCACGAGCCTGGTGACACGATTGAGTAACACTGTATGTGGGTCAAACACTACCGCAGCTGCTGCTTTTTGAATTATTTTACTCTCTTGTAAATTTTTTACTCTAACATATTACTCGTAAATTAATTGTGAAATGCACAACGTGCCTAACTGTAGTTCATATCATCAATTATATCAACTATTTGGGGGCGCCACTATGTGCGTATTTTAACCCGAATATGTGTGAAGGATAAGTGTAGGATATTGGTTTCGTAAATATTCTAAAACGTTTTATTACTATACAACAGAATTAACATTTAGTTGACACTTAATTGAATAAGTTCTACACGTCCTTGGGTAATTATATATTATTACCACCATATCAATAAACCACATCGATGTCCAGCTCAAGACATAAGATTGTGTGACTGATGGTCAAGAAATTGAATAGTATTCTGAAGTACGCATAACATAACAATTTTCCAATTATCTCAAAGTTCGAAACTATATTTACACTTTGAGAAAAAGTTTCATATCTTTAGGAAAACTTTCATTTTACCTTTTATATCACATATTGAAACACAAATGATACAAACTTGTTCTTATCTAAACTTAACGTCTTGCCTTTGCGCTTAAATTAAACTTGTACATCTTATATAAAGTGTAAAATAATCCAATTAACCATGCCTTGTAGTTTGATATTCACATTACATGTTCCTTGTTATAACTTCCAATGCATTTTATTAGGTATATAAGAGTGAAACCTATTGTTTTAGTGTTGCAAACAGCGTATCTATGCTTTCTACGCGTACAAGCGTTATCTTGCCTTAATTGCTTTATCTTTGTTTACGCGTTTTGTTCTCTTAAGGAATGCCCGATAAGCCGTGCAGCTAACCTCTAAGCTATTTGTGGAGGTTTAAAATGAGCTCCAGATGAATGTCGAAGTTTTTTTTGTAATTTATAACTCAACCAAATTTTAAATATTTTATCAAACGCTCGTCCTCCACTTATATGGTAATAATCATACGATTCTGACGTTTATAAATTCATAGTTTAGCATTAGTCTTGAGTTTGTAGAGTGTTTAATGTTTTTTTTTATTTTATAGCCAATTTTTTTTTACTTAAAAATATAATCATACATAAAATCGCTATTAGCTAAGCTAGTAATTTTAACTAGGCTTATCCATTTGATACGCACGCTTATATCATCTCCTTATTAATCCGAGTTGTTATTACGATTGACGATCCAATCAATAATTATTGAAAACGTATTGGTTTATGTAAGGTATGATAATATTGTAGTTGAATAGTTTTTATTATTTTCTCTTATTACAGAGGAAACACAGATATTGTATTTTACAAATATAGCCTTTTTAAATATTGTTATTAAGTCATTATTAATTTTATTGGACCGCATGTAATGAAAACTAAAATCTTGATTCTTTCAGTGATGAATTTTCACAAGTTTTCAGGTAAAACAACGCCATACCGACAATGCAGGGGATTCACATCTATCTGCACCATTCGCCAAACTAATCTCAAAAGTTTTCCTATTTCCGTCCTAAAGCCACGCAATCTACTGTACTCGCACAAGCGGAATAAAAATTGTACATTTTAGTAACTTTGGAGTTTCTTTCGTTGTCTAAATGGTTTAAATTCGACTATAACTATGAAATACCAAACATAAGTGTTCTTTCAATTTGTTGCGTCCAATGGCTTGGAATAATGCATTTGAATCAACAACCTAATAAATATGACTATTCACCAATCAAACTTGTAATTTTAAGGTCTTCGTTATCGTATATATCTTAAATCATAAAATCTACGGTATTGGCCTACATTTTACTATTTAAACCTGATATATCTTCATAAAATATACAAAATACAAGTAAATTAATTGGTAAACTATATTCCGGAACTAATTTAACACAAAAGATAAATGTAAACAATAAAAACAACAACTGTACTTACTTTTAGAAACGTTTGGCGTTATTTTCTACTATAACTCATTTTCTAGAATTATGAATACAATATTATTTCTGTAAACTTAATTATCATCGCAGAAGGTAACTATTACATTCATTGCATATGTACAATTGTCCGTCTGACTTTCTTACATTGAGCAGCTGATTACCTGATGACCTTGACTCAGATTCCAGTAATGCGTACAACATTAACTTATCGTTGATATACGGGTTGACCTTGAACGTCTCGAGGTCATACTATTTCAGATTCGAGTCCAATAATAAGCTATTTTCAGCTGATTTACCTACATGTCTTTTCTCTGACTTGCCTTTCTACAATTTCTTTAATGTTGAAATTTAAAGTTTATTTTGTTTACTCTTGCTTCAACTAAGCAACCCGTAATGTTTGTGGCAGATTCTGTGCTGTAATTTGTAAGTTATTTATTCTATATTATATTAAAAAAAACTTAATATTATTGATATAAAAAAATATACAAAAATATCCCACTATCGCTTTGACGATGAGGTAACGTTATTAGTGAGCTAATTAATTGTTAAAGTCATGACAGAAAGGTCATGGATATTACCCTCTTTGTGACAAAGCATTTATGCATGATTACAAAATGTAAAAATTAGGTCGTTCTAATCATTTACTATCCATTAATTGATCTTCTTATTGTTCAGTAAAGTGGAAAGGTATTTTCCCCGGATTATATATTCTATTTATTCGGACACTGTGAAAGTCGTGGTGATAGCTTATGCAAAGTTACTGCTTGAAAACTGCTTGAAAAATATATGTATCGTTAATTTATTTTACTCCTGTTTGATTAGGATGCAGTATAAAGCCTTTTAGACAATTACAATGAGGAATACCAATTCTTTATTATTTAAACTTTTTTATATGTTCTAGCTTTACCAAAAAACCATGTTTCTTACAAATATGTGAAATAAATATGCACAACTTGGGGGGGGGGGATTAAGTGGTTTTGAATATTAAATCATTTGGCTTAATGGAAAAAGCCGCTACACTTTAATAAAATATTCCGAGAATATAAATTTATAAAAATGCCTCATTTGAATAGCTTCAATCAAAGTTCGGTAAATCCACAAAAAAACCAAGATGAAATATTAACTGATAAAACATAACGAGTGTTTATTTTAGTTCGCTGAAATTCAGCGGCGGATCCTTGGACTGAGGCATGTTGCTGAATACTGATTCAAGGATTTCGTTGGTTCAGCATCGCCTCTCTGCGTCTATCAGCCTTCCTCCACGATTACCAGACAATGATTACGCACGCAACCACAAGAATAATCATGCCAGACCTTCTAGTTGTTTTAGTTTTACGAGAAACTTGTAGTAAACCCCCTTAGCACTGCATTATTTAAGGATTAGTTAAGGATGAAGTCCAATATTTTTTTATCAAATAAGACGTTGGCGACGTCCTGTAATCCAGCTACTAAAAAGTAGCTATTTATAGATATTCTATTTAATTGTAGATATTTATAGGCATGCACTGTGGATGCGATACTCCCTGGTTACGGATTAACGTCTGCACTAGTGAGTACTATGATTATCCGCAGTACTATCCTGATTATTAGACCAATTCGTTGATACCAAGGCAAAAATGTGGTTCGGATTACACCATAAACTGTAGGTCCCTTAGTTGCCATTAGCTGTATGGACTATTAATTAACAGCTGTGTCTTAGGAATGTCGGCCTTAGTCACTAACAAGACTACAAGATCGTGCCCCATTCACTAATCACTACACTCTCTCCATTCATACTTGGTTTAAAATACCTACTTTGTATGGTCGCCATTTCAATGAAAAGTATTAAAGAAGTTATGCAGAAGAAGAGAGAAGAGACATTTTTCAAAGCTCTTATAATACGAATGCAATTGAATAATGCTAGCATTACAAAACATAAGAAGCTATAAATGAAATGGATTTATTATTTAGGGTTACTAAATTTATTGGTTATTCATCCGAGTAGTAAAACTAAATCTACAAGTTTGCAATTTTGAAAAAAAACCTTAAATTAATAATATTTTAAAATACGTCATGTCTTATATTAGATCATATAATGATAATTTTCTAAAAAGTGACTGTTAAAGTGGAACTCATTTCACAATTTCAGAATTAGAACAAATATAATCAAGATTTTTTTCCCATTGTACAACACATGCTATAAATAACTATGTAACGTAACATCATATTCTTGTTCTCCACCAACGTCGGACAGGC